AACGTTAGCATTTTGCTTCTGCCGACTAGATTTATTATTCAAAAATTATAAAAGTAGGGTTGACATGTGGATATTATCCGGCTGAACAAAACGTGATCCATCTCTTAAATATGTGTCAACCACAGACCTTATTTCGAGCTATTTTCCAAAATCCTATGGAGAAATTGCATTGCGTTTTAGACGAAGGAACCGGAAGAAGTTTACTTCCGGGTTTAAGGACGCGTCACTGCGGCTCTCTATTGCCATAGCGGTCGCGGTAAAGCAGGAATAGTTGTTTTTTGTCTTACTGGTGTTTTATCATCTCAGCTGGTGTAAGTATTAGCATTATTTAATGATACTATTTTATATATATATAGGCCTACACACATTTATTCATTTATAAACATATATATAAACACACACTATGTACTCACACATGTATTTATTCATTTATACACACAGATGTTTACTGGTGTTTTATCATCTCAGCTGGTGTAAGTATTAGCATTATTTAATGATACTATTTTATATATATATATATAGGCCTACACACATTTATTCATTTATAAATATATATATATATATATAAACACACACTTATATGTACTCACACATGTATTTATTCATTTATACACACTGATGTTTACTGGTGTTTTATCATCTCAGCTGGTGTAAGTATTAGCATTATTTAATGATACTATTTTATATATATATAGGCCTACATACATTTATTCATTTATAAACATATATATATATTAATGTTAAAATAGACATTTATAACATATTATAAAAGTCTATAAAATATTAAATAAACGTTAACATGTTACATGACAAACAAAAAAACGCGGGTGTGCCGTATCTAAGTAGAGCTACGTCGACCGTTGCGTAAGGCGGAAGTGGGCGTGGTTAAATCTAAACTGGGTTGGAATCCCCGGCCTTCAGGCTGTCAGAGGAAGAAAGAGCTAACAGCCCGACCCGCGAGACGTGAGTGTGGAGAACAGAGACTACTGTATATAGACCACTGAGGGATGGTATGGACCTTTACTGAACAGGGAAACACTGGAGTAAATGTAAGCGCGGTCATTTCGTCGTTACGAATTCAGTGAGCTTACTTACTTGGAGATGTGTCTAAAGTGACATGTTAGTCGGTGCAGGACAGTTGTGAAGGTCTTATAACTGCTATATAGCCTAAACTAAAGTACCGTTGCGTAAAACATTTGTTTAACGTTTACCGTTAGATCTGTCCGGTATTATTTGCTTTGATTTCTGTTTGTTCTTTGCCAACTAACGTTAGCTGTTAGCAAGGTTAAGGGCCACGTTACCAAACTAACGTCTGTCAGTTTGTAACACTGAAGCCACAGCTAACGGCCTTCACAGCAGCCCGTCTCTTCGGGCTCCAGGTTAGCTAGTTCCACTGTGTGTCTGAATACAGTTGTAACACCTACATGAACAGTGATGGAATGTAACTAAGTACATTTACTCAAGTACTGCAGTAAACAAATTGAGTTACTTGTGCTTTACTTGAGTATTTTCACATATTGCTACTTATACTCATTTTGGAGGATGTAGTGACTAGTTACTTTGCAGATTTAGATTACAATACAACATATTAAATTCGCTAATACATTTTTTATATGTAATTTATAGGTTAAGCCAGCCAGTGTGTGTATAAAATTATTCTAATAACCCCCCTTTTACCAAGTCCAACATTGGAGTTATGAATACATACCATTACTTTGACGTTTTGATACTAAACGTATATTTTGATGTTATTGGCTTAACAATTTGCTTAAATAACGAGAAACACATCATCCATTTGATTAATATTAATATATTTATTTGTTTAATGTATTTTTATTCTTGGCTATTTAGAGTAGAAATGCAAAAGGTGTGCCCTGAAGACCTATAGATAGGCCACAAAACCTAATACACAGCAAATGGAAAGATCTTTACCAATTTACCTGCATATTGGTTAGGTGTATCTGTTTTATCTCTAAACACTGCTTGTGGAAAAAAGTATATAAACAGTCACCCATGGACTTTGATGTCAAACAAACCCATGTTCTTGTGTTTCCTCAGCATGGAGTCCGGTCACCTCCTCTCTCCTGAGTCCACGGTGACGTCCCTGCTGTCCAGCTCCAGTCACCTGAGGAGCAGCCTGCTGGCTCCTGAACACAACACCGCCTTCAGATACAGAGATAAGGTCTGCTTCTACTGGGGTCAGCTGTCTACAGTAGGGATGGGGCACAGTGGAGGATATCTGCCTGTCTTTATTTCCTGTCTTGTTATCATAACCGAGCCAAAGTGGGCAGCCATTTATACCAGACCTGACAATGAGGTATTTTTCTGTACACCAGCATGGCACTGAGGTTCTCAGAGCTCAATCCGAACGTGTCGGTCGAAGTTATGCTCTGAGTTTTAGTTAAAGATCATTCTAAAGATCAAAGAAGGTTATTATTATTATGAGTGGTTCAAATTAAAAAGTCTTACAGCTGCTACTGGTAAAATAACTCCAGCATTCAACTCTTGCTACTTTTAAATCCAGGCTGAAGACTTTTCTTTTTGTCGCTGCTTTTAATTGAACTATTCATATCTTAGACTGCACTGTAACTTTTATCCATGTATTTTTTCTTTTAATGTTTATTTTATGAACTTTTCTTTTGAATGACTGATTTTAAATGCCATTTTCTTAATGTCTTTCATTTTTTGTAAAGCACTTTGAATTGCCTTGTGTTGAAAAGTGCTATATAAATAAACTTACCTTGCCTTTCTGTTCTTAGGAAAAATACAAAAAGACAAGCTGTTGGCCCAGAAGATGTTTATGGGGCTGGGCTAACTAAAAATTAATCTCATGCTTAATGATTGAATCATGGATATATGGATTGCAGAACTACACCTCGGCCTCTGCGGCGTTGGACGCCTACATCTCAGACTTTGAGTGGAGTCAGAGCAGCCAGTTTGTTACGAGGGGGTTGGTTCTGCCTCACAGTCTGCCCTCCACGCCGAGGGGACCCAGAGCGAGCACGCTTAGAAACACAGATGGTGGGTCACCACATTCTTTAAGTTAATACGTTTCTTTTATGATAGTTTATCTTTATGTGATTGTCTTCTTTTGTTTCTTTAGTTCTCAGGGAACATTTGACCGACAGAGAGCTGGACTTCCTGAACCTCCCCGTTAGCTCCCTCCATCACCGTGGCAACAGAGATAGACTCTCCATGACTACAGATGAGCTGCTATCTATTCCTTATGACGGCTCGATGCCTGTAACGCACACCTCCGCCTTCCTCCAAGGTCATTAAACGCATCACTCAAACTCCCCCTGACATCCTCTGAGAATCAATGCTTTCCCTTCACCTCTGACTTAATTTGAGGTCATTTAATGCATCACTCCTTCCTACTCCTCCATCTTTTGTTTCTCAATGCATCATGTTTGGATGATGGCATTTGTCTGTGTTTCAGAAATTGTGTGGTGACTAGGGGTATAACGGTATCCATATTCGTCCCGAACCGTCATGGTTCGGACGTCATGGTTCGACACATGCAGTCACACGACGAATACGCCTTTTTCAGGCTGTCCGCGGGGTCTTAAAAAGTGTTAAAAGTTGATAAATCAATTTAGCGAAAATTAAGGCTATTAAAAAGTATTAAACTGCATTTTCCAAGGTATTAAGAAGGTCCACAGCAACGACAACATGAAACACCCTTTAATTGACCTTTCGCAAAGCCACGCCCCCCCTTGGTTACTGTTGCTAGTCCGACAAGCTGAGAGCCAGATGCGTTAAACAAAGCCATAATGGAGGGTCTCCGTAACGTTGGAGTCGCCTTAACAGACTCATTTTGGAGCAATAACGCAGCAATATCCTCCAGGTTCCGACAAAAGGGGCTACAATACGCTATGGAGGGTTATATCCACAGTATAAACATTAGAAAAGAGGGAGGCACAACATCAATAGAGACACTTGCATACAGGTCGCAGTGCAAGAGTGACAAACCACATGAGCTGTATGTCAAATTCGACGGAATTATTATTATTATTTTTGGAATAAAACAATACAATCACAAGAGGCATTAAATGTTGTAGTTTGTCTAAAGTTAACTACCGTTTCCTTGGTGGCTTTCTGCATCCACCATGTTGTTCCTCTGTGGGGGTCGGGGTGCCCACTTGTGCAGCAGGATTAGGGAAGTCGGCAGTAGGCTTTCCATTAACAAAATGCTACAAAGATTAAAGCAAAATATAAATGAATGATTGCCTGTTGGCTTTCTTGTTTGTACTTTGACCACAGGTAGACTAATAACGGAGCTCAGCTGTTCAGACATTATTATGCATCAAGTGATATACATGGTCAAAACGACCTAGAAGCACACAGCTTACAGCTGTAGTCGTGTGACTTTAGCTAACGTTAGTTAGTGAAATTAGTTAATTAAATTAGTTAGTTAATTTGTGAATGTAATCTTTGCTAGCTAGCTAGCTACGTTAGCACGTATTTACCTTAGAGTAAACGCATTTGTGTTTGTTGATATTCGCCATATTCAGCTTGGCATGGGGCCTGCCGCATTTCTTTATCCACTGGCGGCATCTCTCCTCTCGGGTTTTGGGTTTAGGAAACGGGTAAAATATCACCCCCCCCCTCTAAGCTTATGGGATATCTGCTATCCGATTTCCAA